ATTACGAACACATATCAGCCGTAAAAAGTGAATATGAATTCCGTTTTGCCGGAGAGACGACCTAATTATCGCATTCACTCATACATCAAATGCTGTCAATTTTGTGCACTTTTTATGTAACTTTTTTTAGCTAGATAAATATAATATACTTAATATACTAATTAAATATAATAGACTTCATTTAAATATAATATATTATATACATTCTATATTTGCTAAAAAATTAGACTTTATTATAATTTACATACAATTTTCAAGCATTTAAGCATATATTTAAGATAGCGATAGAAAAGTACTTTAAATGGTTAATCCATATTAAAAACATCTTTTATCGCGTATTTAACAGTATACAGAAAATCGTTGAGAAGATTGAGTCGAAGTCTCCTGTGTTTGTCAACCATTGGTCTCATATTTGCCTCAAATTCCTTGATTTTCTTCAACTTAAAGCTCAGAATAGTCTTATCCTTCTTGAGTGTTTTGTTTTTGATCTTATTGTCCGCCAAAACCATTAGATTTGCATATTCTGTGTAAACGTTCTCCAATTCTATGCACTCAGTGGACGTCCTGTTGTCACAAATGTCTCCAGAATTTTGCAATTCATATAACTTTTCGTTGATCTCTGCGGTTATACTCTCTTCGACCGACACTTGAGTTATAGAAACAATTCATTAAAAATTATATCCAATTATTTTTAGAGAAGTTTTTCAAATATATTACTCGCAAGAGTTGATACAATTAAAGACAAAACTATGATAATAATAAAGTGCTTCATATTTTGAAAGCGCTATTAAAACGACCGAAATTTAAATGAATAAAATAACTAAAATTGCGTTAAATCTAAGAAATGTGAATTAATGTTTGAAGTAGACTGACGTTTATTTGCAAACCATTTCATAATGAATAAAATTCTTGAATAGCAATGTTGTAAGGATTGACAGGAATGTCACATACAGTATAGGCTATCAGTTAACAAGCATTTCAGAGCAAACAAATCCAATCATACCATTTAACTCTGCTTTCATAGTAATAATGAACGCATTTCTA